TCATATCTCCCGCACCCTTATAGCTATCGAGACGCAACCACCCCTATGCACGAATGGAGACTTGGGGCTACTACCACATACAAACACCATTCACGTGCGATGTGTAGTTTTGGCTAAAAAGTGAAATATAGGGACATACACGTCCATTTTTATCTATATGTATATATATATACATATAGATAAAAATGGACGTGTATGTCCCTATATTTCACTTTTTAGCCAAAACTACACATCGCACGTGAATGATGTTTGTATGTGGTAGTAGCCCCAAGTCTCTATTCGTGCACTGTGGTGGTTGCATTTCGATAGCTATAAGGGTGCGAGGGATATGGGCTTGAAAGTGGTTAAAAGTGGAAGATTTTCTATTTCGATTTTAAAAATGTTCGAACCGTTTTAAATTCGAATTTGTATTCGAATTCGAATTCGAATTGGTTCGATTATAGAAAGATTGTAAACGTTCCAGAAATGTTGAAAATAGTTCGTTTGACTGGACGTGAACAGGAGATGTTCAGAAATAGAATCGGGACCACGTATCTAATTAGTCTGGAAACGGGGAACCTAATTCTTGCATTCTGTGAAAACGGGTAAGATTGGCTATAATGTAATTATCTTAATCTTCACTATCGTTACTTTTTGCCCACAAATAAAAACCCAGCGAAGCGGGTCTTTGCAGCTAGATTCTAGATTACTTAAAGAAACAGTCTTTTATATATAAAAAACAAAAACTATATTACATACAGATGTACGAACAAATAAAAACCCAGCGAAGCGTGCCCTTGCAGCTAGTATGTTATATAAATTCACCGGTATTTAATTTAAAACAATATTCATCATTGGCATGCATCAATAATGGAACCATAACTTTTGTAAAAGATACTTCCCTAAGAGGGAAGTCGACAGGCTACGTAACCAATCTAATGTGTAACCTACTTTCTCTAACAGTAAAACGAAGTAAGTTAGAGTACAACGATACACAAAAACTAATTATAATAATCAAAACCAATTCTTAAAAAGTTTTTCTAAAATCCTGTATTCGGTTTTTGATATAGTTCTACTAATAGCACTAAATCAGTAGACATGTCTAAATAACAGGCTTATAAACACTAAAAAACATAAATGTTTCGAAATTAGGACTAGATAATTATATGCACAAATATATTAGTAAGTCTACAATACATACTCTCACTTATATTCAAGTATTATATCCAAAGATCAGTGCTTGCTAATTGTCGAAAATAAATTATTTTTCAACTTTTCTTTCTGTAGCATATTCTGAAACAAGATCTAAATTCACAGTAAAATTTTCACCTTATATCCATTAAAAACAGCGCATAACGTATCCATCCAGAAAAAAAAATTTTTTGCAGTGAACTTTGAACAAACCGAGTAACACCAAGAAAACACTAAACCCATCAGCGAAATCTCGCGCGAACTGATGTATATGGGATAGACTGAAAATACTCCTCACGTGACCAAAGGTTACATTTTTCTGAATAAACGCTAAAAGTTTTTAAAAATTCTTCCATGAAACCTGATGAATTTAATTAATACACAATAACTAAATCTGTTTAATAGAGATTAATAATCTACCATTATAATTATGCAAATCTATATATATAAAAATGAATGTATGTGTGTGTGTCCTTCATGCATTACCACACCGTTTATCCGATTGCCGTGAAACTTTGG